GGGGGGACCCGGAGCTCTGTGGTCCCGCGGGTGGCACCCTTGCTCTGCCCAGCAGCCCGGAGCACCGTCTCCCCTCCCCCAGTCGTGGAACGGGTTCGGTCTCAGGAGTCCACCGACTCGCGGGGAGAGATGCTGGGATCGCTCCCCAGGGGAGTGAAGGGGCAAAGCGTGCCAGCCTCGGAGGCGCGGCGCTTTCTGCAGGCCCTGGCAACCTTTTTTGCACTTTACAGTTATTGGGGAGCGGAAGAGGGTGGTTGAGGATGAAGTATGGCTGGGCATCTTCCAAAATCTGCCGGCAGAAAGGTCCAGGTGTTTATATTAGGACCTCTTCATCCTAAGCAATGGGGAAAGGATGTCACAAAATAACTAACCTAGAGAACCTACTCTAGCCTCCTTAGCCGAGTGTCCTGGTGCTAAGTTAACGGACAGAACTAAGTAACAGAACTAAATCTAGTAAAGTATAAAGGCTGTGAATAAATAAAGAAACGAGACCCGTTATCCGCATCCCCATCTCTGAGGGACACGCCCCCTCTCCGCAGAAGCAAAGATTTATCCTAGAGGTTTCTTTCCTTCTGAAGGACCCTAATGACTCAGCTTTAAAACAGAACAAAACAAAACTTGTTTGGGGATATTTCTAGTCTAACTCTTGAAATATGAAACCAAAATAAAAGTTGTTGCATTTCCTTGTCCAAAGGAGCTATTATTCATCTGCAGACCGTTATTTAAATGCGTTGTCTTGACTCCTCAGGGTGTCTTTGTCCTCAGAGCTTACTGTTTCTGATTTCAACAATGATTTTTTTTTTTTTTTAACAAATGAATCATCACATCAATGTAATTAAGAGCCTAAGCTCTGGATTCAGCCTTGATTCAAATCCTAGTTCTAGGATTCAAATCCTGGCACTAGGACTTGCATCAAGTTACTAGACTTTTCTGTGCCTTGGATTCCTCATCTGTGAAATGGAGATAACCAGGACCTATCTCTTCATATGGTGGTGAGGATCAAATGAGGTGATGAGTGTAAAGTACTCTGACCCAGACATGCACTGATAACATCAGCTATCGTTTCCATTCCCATTATTAATATTACTACAAGACCTAAACACCTATTTAAAAAAAAAATAAAAGATGAGAGGAACTAATATGTTTCCACTTCCACATAAAGCGTGACAGGCAATTGTGCCAGGATATATTCTCTTTGAAAAGATTATATTTTACTGAATTTGTCATGTAACTCAAAAATATGTTTATTTCAAAAAAAAAAAATTCATTTGCTAAAAAATTTTACATGTGCAAGATACATGTAATGGAAGTCCAGGTCATCTTGGTCATCTAGCTAATGTGAGGAGCATACAGGGTAAGTCGCTCTCAGGGACGGCCTTGCATCTATCTGCCTCAGGGCAAAACACACCAAAGGTAGGTTCTTGAGAGGAAAGGCTCTTGGGTTCAGGCTCCTCTCATTTTTAGGCAGCGTCCTCATCTTCTCTGGTTCTTGAGATCCTCTCCTGTATAAATGAAGGGATGGGGATTTTTGAGGACATTTCTCACCCTAAAAATCTAAAGAGTATTGTCAAATAATTCTGGAGAGGTTGTCCTGTGCAGGGTCTAAGGAAATTCAACTTTGATTGACAGGCACTTAGGACCCTAGAGTTTACACTAATTGTTCCCAGACCCACCCCTACCCCCAGCCCAGCACCATGAGCATTACCTGCTAACTTGTTACAGTAGAATTGTGGATTATCTGTCTCAGGCCAGATATACTGAATCAGAAACTTTGGATGTGGAACCCAGCAATCTGGTTTAAAAAGCCTTCCAGGTGATTCTGAGGAATACAAATTTGAGAACCTTTGGTTTACATAGTACTTCATACGTTGTCTACAGCAAATCAGAAGGTATGTTATCTCTATGATGATTATGTTTGTGCTGGGCGCTGTGCTAAGCACTTAAATATTTCATTTAATCCTTTCAACGCCTATGAGGTGGTGGGAGGACCTTGTACACTCAGTTTCATCCACACAAGTATCAATTTACTTCTTCAAAAGAGTCCAGCTTCTTCCCATCTCAGGTCCTTCTTTTCCAGGTAATGCCTACTCATTCCTTAGTATCCCCTCTCCTAGGAAGTCCCAGGCTAAGTTAGCCAGTTAAATGTACCACAACAGAATTTATCACAATAGAACTTATTGTTTGTGTAGTTACCTATTTAATATTTGTGTCCACCATTAAATTGTAAGCTATGTGAGTCAGGGACCCTGTCTGTCTTATTCCTCAATGAATTCTTAGTACCTAACCCAGTGTTGGTCACAGAGAAAGTGTTCAATAAATATTTGTTGGAGGAATGAATGTTTAACAAATGAATCCCCTTTCTGTGTAAGAAGAAGCTGAGGCTCAATGAAGTTACTTTCCCGAGATCACACACTTAGAAAGTATTAGAACCAGGTCTCCAAACTTTTAGACTTTTAACCACTACATTCATTGCTTTTCCAGTTTTTGACTAAGAAAATACAACTCTAAGAGATAAAATGACTTGCCTAAAGTCACATAGCTAGTGAATAATAGGACATCTAAGTTCTTCTGTACCACATTATGCTGCTTTATCTTCCCCTCCAGGAACTTACAACTAGTGAGATGGGACAAGGAATCCATACAGGACAAATTAAATTCATAGTAAAAGAAATTTAGTGAGACATATCTACAGAGCCTGGTATCATGCCTGGTACATAGTAGATGTTCAATAAATGTTTACTGAATGAAGAGTGATCATAGTTTTCACCTTTTGAATATTCACTATATGCCTTGTTCTACTGAGCTCTTACAAGCATATGGAGTGTTTCTCAAAGCAGGACCCTTGAAGTCTGGGAACCTTGTTAAAATACAGATGCCTGGGGCTTTGACCTAATGAATTGGAATCTATAGGTATGGGTTTTGAGAATATGCATTTTCACCTATCTCCCTAGGTGACTCTCATGCCCACTAAAGTTTGAGAAATATTCCATCATTACAATAACCATCCAAGAGAGACACTGGCAGTCTATTGCTCACAAGAGGAAATTCTGCTCAAGATGTAATGAAAGTCGCTAAAGGTCCCACCACCAATAAGCATTTGAATCTAATTTTGAATTTGAATTTGAATCTAATTTTGACTCCAAAAGACTGTGCTCCACCGCCACTGAGGAAGGGAGGAGAGAATAGAAGGCAGAATGGAAGACTATGCAGGAAGGGAGGAAGAGGACAGAGAGAGGAAGAGAAAGAAGGAGAAAGGAAGGCCATGGTTAATAGAGAAATAGATTTCATTGAGAAGGGAAAGAACCCATCAGGCTGGGTTGTCAGAGAATTTTTGCTGAAATACCTGGAAATTGAACAAAGAATTATGCGTTCCCTTGACCCTCTGCTTCTCTGATAACGTTCACTCATTGTGGCCAGAGGATGGCCTTTCAAACAAGGGTTTCTTGAACCAGTCTGTTTAAATAAAAAAATGCATTCATTAAATATGGTGATTACCTTTGCCAAAAAGCATCCTTAGAAGGACTGAACACCGACCCTCTCAGATGTGAATGAGCTCCCCTCATAAAAGGCCTGTAAGTGGTGTCCTGGGTCAGATTCTTGCTACTTTTTCCATGTCTGCAACAAACATCTGTGTGCAGTCAGAGCCCCCTAGGTTGCAGAGCTAGTTAGTGGCCTGAAGATCAGAGACAGTCCTTTGGAATCAGACAAATCAGTGTCAGGTAATTATGAAAATCCAGAGAGGATATGAGTCATCTTGCTCCAGACTTACTTTAAATATTGACTTTAAGTAGCAGGTCAGTTCTCTGCTGCTACATCTTCAGCTCCCTAATGCAACTAATTTCATTCATGTATTCATTCATTCTGTTTTTCAACAAGTATTATGGTGCACCTACTATATACCAGGACTAATCACTTGCATCATTTAAGCTTCAGAGTTGGAGCTGTAATCTTGCTTTAAAGCCTCCACAAGAATAATCTACTAGAAAACTCTATTTCCATTAATTTCGTTGGCATGGCAACCACCAAGCAACAGCATGGAGAGTGCCTTAAATCCCACAGCAGTCTGTTAGCCCGAGCGAGTCTGCAGAGAGCAGGCCGTATACAGAGGCTAAAAATAGACAACTTACAGCAAGGTGCCCCCCATATCTTCCACCCCCACCAACTAGAAGGAGTGTGACTGATTTGCAACTTTGGTGGTGTCAAATGGGATCCAGACAAGAGAATAGGCTAATCTTCCAGTTTGCGGGTTTTTCCAGCCCTGGGCCTGGACTAGGAATGTAGAGACCCAAGGTCTAATACCAGTTTATCCCCTAATTAGTTGCGTGAGATTCAGTTCAAGCTCGGGCAGTGTCTCTGGGCTTTATTTAGTGTCCTCATTTGTAAAAAGCAGGAGCTGGGGTGGACTGAGGATTTTCCAGTACCACAATCCTAGTTGCTAATCCAGTTAATGAATTTGTCATTTCCTTTGCTAGCATGGATGACAGGTAGTAGTTAGGGGAGAGGACATGGCAGGCAGTCCTGGTGAAAAGTCTTTCAATAGGCAATTTGGCAAATATTAACTGTCGTCTCTTCTGGTAATAACAGCTTACATATACCACGTGCCAAGGATAGTTCTAAGAGATTTTCACATTATATGCCTTCCTAACAAGGTTAGGAAAAAGGCATTACTGGTATCTGTACTTCATAAATGAATAAACTGAGTCATGTATAGGTAAAGTAAACGGATCATTTTTAAAGATGTCAATTTATATAGCTAGCATTTGAACCCAGGCTACCTAAATTCAGAACCTACATGCTTGACCATATTACTTTGTACTTCTAGTACCTAGAACATTGCTTAGCACTCTGAGGGCCCTTA